CTTCCCCTCCCATATTCTCTTTCCCCTTTATCTCTACCATTTTTAATGCTTTTGTGTTCTCCAGCCTTTCAGTATCTACCAGAGTGTGGACAGTTGGTATATGTTAAGTGGAGACATATGGTGTTTCTCTTTCATAGCCTGACTTGCTTCACTCAGCAACAAATTTTCCATATTTGTCCATTTTCTATCAAATTTCAGGGCCTTGTTTTTTGTTTTGTTTTATTAAGAATTATTTATTTATTTAATTCCATTAATAATTTATTTATTATTTTATTATTTTTAATTTGGCCAGAGAGAGACAGAGAGAGAAACAGAAAGGGAGAAAGAAAGCTGCCAGGTCCAGGACTCAAACCATGGTCAGCCATGTGAGAATCCAGCGCCTTCAACCACCATGCCATGCTGGCCCTTGGCCTTGTTGTTTTTTTTATGGCTGAATAGTATTCCATGGAGTATATGTGCCATAATTTTTCAATCCATTCATCTGTGGACATTTGGGTTGGTTCCATATCTTAGCAAATGTGAACAGTACTGCAATGAAAATAGTTGTGCAAGTGCTTTTCTGACAGAGTACTCTCCTGTCCTTTGGATAGATACCCTGGAGTGGAATTGCTGGATCATATAGTAGTTCTATCTGAAGGTCTTTGAGGAATCTCCATATCGTTCATCACAGTGGCTGGACCAATTTACATTCCCACCAACAGTATAGGAGTGTCACCCTTTCACCACATCCTCTCCAGCACTTACCATTATTTGTTTTCTTAATCTTTGCCATTCTGACTAGGGTTAGATGGTATCTCATTGTGATTTTGATTTATTTATTTATTTAATTTTTTTTGGAGAGGTTTTTGCTATAGGGCACGTGTGCTCGCCAGAAAGACAGAGACAGAGAGACAGAAAGCAAGAAATCATCCCCTGGGGGGATGGCCACATCATAATCCCTTTTCCATTCTCCTCTTGGATCTTGGGCATGCTCGCACACACACCCGGCATGAGGTTATTTTGGAGAGTTTTTTTTTTTTTTACTCTAAGGCACGTGTGCTTGCCAGAAAGAGAGAGAGAGATAGACAGCGAGAAATCACCCTCCAAGGGAATGGCCACACCTCAGTCCCCTCTCCTCCATTCTCCTCTCAGGATCTTGGGCACGCACACACATGCGCCGGGTGTGAGTTTAAGCCACCAGGTCCAGGACTCGAACCGTGGCCGACTACATGGGAGTTCAGCTACATAGCCATTACGCTAACTGCTGATTCCCCGCGTGAGTTTTAAGCCACCAGGTCCAGGACTCAAACTGTGGTCAACTACATGGGAGTCCAGCGACATAGCCATTACGCCAACTACTAGTCCCTTCAGTGTGGTTTTGATCTGCATCTCCCTTACAATGACGGATGTTGAGCATTTTTTCATATGCTTTTTGGCTGTTCGTATGTCTTCCTGAGAGAGTTGCTTATTCAGCTCATTCTCCCATCTTTTAACTGGGTTAGTCATTTCCTTTCCGGTAAGCTGCTTGAGTTCCCTGTGTATTCTGGTTATCAATTCCTTATCTGAGGCACAGTTAACAAAAAATTATTTTCCATTCCGAGGGTTGTCAATTCACACTAATTACAGTCAGTGTCCTTTGCTATGCAGAAATTTCTTAATCTGATATAATCCCACCTGTCTTTTTTGGGGATAGATTTTTTTAAGAATTATTTTATTTAACTTTATTTATTTACTTATTTTAATTTGACCAAAGAGGGACAGAGAGAGAAGAGAGAGAGAGAGAGAGAAAGCAAGCCACCGGGTCTGGGACTTGAACTGCGGTCGACCCTATGGGAGTCCAGTGCCCTTAACCACCACGCCACCTGCTGGACCCAGCACCTAGAATTTTTTATGCTATTTTTAACTGGAGACTTGATTTCCCTATTGAAAATTACTTCCATTCTGTCTGCAATAGCTATTGATGTAATAATATGTAAAAAAAGTAGTTGATGTTAACGTCAACATCCACTTTTGTTGTTTCATTCAAAAGTAGTTCTCTACAAGTTAGTAATTAATGCATACCATTAAAAAGTTTATTTAAGGGACCAGCAGGTGGTGTGGTGGTTAAGGCGCTGGACACTCCCATATGGCCGACCATGGTTCAAGTCCTGGACCTGTTGGCTTGCTTTCTCACTTTCCTCTCTCCTCTCTCTGTGTCTCTCTCTGGTCAAATTAAACTGAATGAATGAATAAATAAATAAATCTTTAAAAAGAAAAGTTTACTTAAAATAACTTTCAGGACAGACGTGCCTTTATAATTTGTAATATGATTGCATTTTGTTATTTGTTGAGCTAAATGTGAAAATAGCAAAAATTGGACCAGAAGTTAAGGTGCTATGTTTCAGGTAGCTGACTGCATGATTCGAGTTCTGGACCCAGCAGCTTGAGAACACATGAGGTGCGTGTGCATATATGCCCAACATCCTGAGAAGAAAATCGAGGATAATGGATTGTGGTGTAGCCATCTCCTGTGGGGTGCTTCCTCAATTTCCTTCTCTCTTTCTCTGTCTCTCTCCAGCAAATTCCCATATACTATACCAAAGTCAAAAAAAGAGAGAGAGAGAGAGAGAGAAAAACGGCAAAAATTTAAAAAAATTAAAATGACTTAAGAAAGAAACTTGAGTTATGTATGATAATAACAGAAATGGTTTTAATTGTTTTTTTAAAAGAATTATTTATTTAATTTAGTTTTATTATTTTCTTTTTTGAAATTTGACCAGAGAGAGAGGGAAAGTGAGAAAGCAAGCTGCCAGGTCTGGGACTCGAACTGTGGTCAGTCACATGGGAGTCCAGCACCTTAACTAGCATGCCTGCTGGCCCCAAGCCTTTGTTATTTTTAAACTTTATATAATTTTTAAATGTATATTACCAAGACCCAATTGTATATTCCATATTAGTTATTAGAAAATGCCATTTGAAAATAATGTAAAGAATTAATACATTAATGAGATGTTTAAAATCACCCATAATTAGTAACAACTTTTTTTTACAGCATATGCAATTAGAATAAACGTATAATTTAGCAATATATGGTGAAGAGCCAGCTGTTGGCCTGTTCAGGCTCTTTAATTTATAAACATTTGTATTGCCAACTTCTTATGTGATATAACTTATCTATATCCACATAAGAGATAAGACATGGGATGTTCATGAGTATTCGAATAGTCTTTTTGAAGAATTAAAATCTTGGAGAGATGTTTATTGGCGCTTGTGGGGAACAGTCAACTGGCTGACTTGTTCAAGATGTTATCAGGTGAGTGTTTTTAATATCCTGTTCCACAAACATTGAGAGTAAGGTTCTTTCAATATCTGCTGTTTTAATTAGTAAGTTTGGATGTGCTTGGGCAGTATCTGACATCTTTTTGAAGAAACAAGCTGCAAAACCGGTGGAACTATTAAACATTGCTTATATCTGGCTTCATTTTTCTTACCATGTTTCTTTTTCCACTTTTTAATTTTATTCCTAAAACGATCAATGCCTTGCTGAATTTCTTTTTTAATTTGCCAGAGGACATGCGTGCTCACTGAAGAGAGAGAGAAAGTGAGAAGACACTCCCCTTCATGGAAAATGGTCATGCCACATTCCCTTCTCCATTTTTCTCTCCTTTTGAGATTTTGGTCATGCACACATACGCACCCAGCACATTTTTTAAGCTCCTGAGTCTAGGACTCGAGTTGCTTAGTTGCCATGTAGCATCCAGAAGTCTTAACCTCTGCACCTCCTGCTGGCCCAGCTGAAGTATAAGTTACATGTAGTAAAATTCATCTTTTTTTAGGCTCTACAAATGCAGTCATGTTACTATAAACTAAAATCAGAACAGGGAACATTTCCACTACCCTAAACAGTTCTCTTGTACTACATTTTTGTCAATTCCTGCTTCCATCCCAGCCTCTGGCAACCACTTAGTTGTTGTGTGTGTTTCTGTAGGGTGCATGTGCTCACTGAATGGAGATAGAGAGGGGAAAGTGAGAAATCACCTCGCAGGGGAGGTGGCCATGCTACAATACTTTCTCTTCCTTCTCCTCTCAGGATTTTGGGCATGCACGCACATATGTCCAACATGTTTTTCATGTTCATATGCCCTATAGCAAAAATTAAAAAATAATAATATTCTGTCTTTAAGAAAATCATGATGCATTTTTGCATAGAAAAATATAGAGAAATATATCATTACTTTTCTGATAACAAATAATAATAAATAAAAATTAAATAATTTTTTTGAGAGTTTTTTTTTTTTTTTTTTTTTTTTTTTCTATAGAGGCAGTGTGCATGCGCTCACCAGAAAGAGACAGAAAGCGAGAAATCACCCCCACAGCGGGGATGGCCACACTGCAATCCCTTCTCCTCCATTCTCTTCTTGGGATCTTGGGCATGTACTCACACGCGCCCTGTGCGAGTTTAAGCCATTGGGTCTAGGACTTGAACCGCGGTCAACTACATGGGAGTCCAGGGACATAGCCGTTATGCTAACTTCTGGTTTCCATAATTTTTTAAAATTTTAAATTAAAAACTCACTCAAACATAATAATTGAAACTAACAACTAAAAATTCTGAACTATAGATTATACTTTCTTGGGTCGTTGGGAAAGTCATGATGCATTTTTACATAGAAAAACATAATATATGTTCAAGATCAATGCTTACAATTATTAATTTGTGGGACCACCAGTTGGCATAATGGCTATGTTGCTGGACTCCCATGTAGTCAACAGTGGTTTGAGGCCCGGACCCTGTGTCTTAAACTCACGCCAGACACGTGTGTGTGCGTGCCCAGGATCCCAAGAAGAGAATGGAAGAGAAGGGATTGCTGCGTGTCTATCCCTCCTGAAGAGTGATTTCTCGGTTTCTGTCTCTGTCTCTCTTTCTGGTGAGCGTGTGCACACGCCCTATAGCAAAAAACTCTCCAAAAATAAAAACAGAATTATTCATTTATTTTTTCTTTTGAATTATTTTACCAACTTACAAATTTGAACTATTTCAACTTACATTTGAAATACGTTTGATAAAACATATTTGAACCCTCTTAATTTTGTGATTAAATCTTTTTTTTCTTTTTTGAGAGGTTTTTGCTATAGGGCACGTGCGCTCACCAAAAAGAGACAGAGAGACAGAAAGTGAGAAATCATCCCCCAGGGGAGATGGCCACGCCGCAATCCCTTCTCCTCCATTCTCCTCTCGGGATCTTGGGCATGCATGCACACACACCTGGTGTGAGTTTAAGCTGCCAGGTCTGGGACTCGAACGGCAGTCGACTACGTGGGAGTCCAGCGACATAGCCGTTACGTTAATTTCTGTTCCCGAGATTAAATTTTTGTAAGTTTGTTCCATCAATGATTTGCTCCAGTTTTCATTAATATGAATACTAAATATATACCTTAAAAATACATCAAGAGGAGCTGGCAGGTCAGGTATGGTGGTTAAGGAACTAGACTCCCACATGGGTGACTGGTTTGAGTCCTGGAACTGGTGGCTTGTTTTCCCACTTTCTCTCTCTCATCAAATTAAAAATAATAACGAGAAATAAAATGAAACAAATAATTTTTTAAAAAATACATTAAAAAATAACGAAGTGAGACAAGATTTTATTTCATTTTTCTATGGAAAGTTTTTTTTAGATTTTTGCCAATAGGGCATGTGCATTGGCCAGAGATAAGAGAAGGAAAGTGAGAAATCCACCATCCCCCCCCAAGATGGTATAGCCACACCACAGTCCCCTCTCCATAGTCCTCTCTAGATTTGGGGCACATACATACACACACTCAGAGTGTTTTACAAGCTACTGGGTCTAGGTCTTGAACTACAGAATCGACCATGTGGGATCCAATGCCTTAGCCATCCTGCCATCCACTGGCTCTCTTTGGAAAGCTTTTGAGTGCCTGGTCAATTGCTGACCTTCTTTGGAAAACTTTTGAGTGCCTGGTCAATTGTAAAATTGAATGTTTATCAAGATTAATTTATCTAAATTTTGAGGAAAGTAATTTCTTTACTTTTTAATAGCCTTTGAGGTATAATTACATGCCATAAAATTCATTCATTTTAAATGTACAATTTACTGATTTTTAGTAAATTTATAGAGTTGTGCCACCATCCAATTTCGGTGCAGTTTCATCACCCTGGAAAGATCTCTTGTGTGGGACCAGCAGTTAGCATAATGGCTATGTTGCTGGACTCCCATGTAGTCAACTGAGGTTCATGTCCTGGACCCAGTGCCTTAATCTCACGCCAGCTGCATGTGCATGCTTGCCCAAGATCCTGAGAGGAGAATGGAGGAGAAGGGATTGCGGTGTGGCCATCCCCCCTGGGGGATGATTTCTCACTTTCTATCTCTCTGTCTCTTTCAGTCTTTCTGGTGAGCGCACGCGCCCTATAGCAAAAACCTCTCAATTAAAAAAAAGATCCCTTGTGCCCAGTTGTTTCCACTCCCCATTATAACCACCAACCCTGGCAACTATTAATCTACCTTGTGTATTACAGATTGGTCTTTTCTGTACATTTCATGTAAATGGAACATACAATACGTCCTCTTAAATGAAGCATTTTTGAGATGTATAATTTCACTGTGAGTATAACTGATTCTGTGTTTCTTATATTCAGGCTTTTCTCTGTATTGAATTTTCACATTGTCAGTACCACTCAGAAACAGTGGTTTATCCTACTGCAGCAAGTTCGGTGAGTACTGTTGGCACTGGAATTTATCCCTGCTGTAACCAAAAGGTTCTTCGGTTTGATCTACTCAGCTTACAAAGGTATTATTATTTTTTTAGAGAGACTTTTGCTATAGGACACATGTGCTTGCCAGAAAGACAGAGACAGAAAGCAACAAATCACCCCCCAGGAGGATGGCCATGCTGCGATTCCTTCTCCTCTTGGGATTTCAGGCATGCACACACACACACCCAATGTGAGTTTTAAGCTACTGGGTCCGGGACTCAAACCACCGTTGATTATGTGGGTGTCCAGTGATGTAACCATTACACCATCTGCTGGTATTTTGAATGTTGACCTTTTGTAGGTGCAGTGTCACTAACACATTCGTTTAAACTTTTTTTTTTTAAGAATTATTTTACTTAACTTTATTTATTTATTTATTTTAAAAGAATTATTTATTTATTTATTTACATTTGTTTTTTTTTTTTTTTTCTTTATTTGACGAGAGAGAGAAAGAGGAGAGAAAGGGAAAGTGAGAAAGCAAGCCACCAGGTCCAGGATTTGAACCATGGTTGGCCATGTGGGAATCCAACGCCCTTATCCACCACACCACCTGCTGGCCCATTATTTATTTATTTATTTTAAATTTGACCAGAGAGGGACACAGAGAGAGAAAGAGAGAGAGAGAGAAAGTGAGACAGGAAACCGCCAGATCCAGGGCTCAGACCACTGTCAGCCATGTGGGAGTCCAGCATCCTTACCCACCACGCCACCTGCCAGTCCCTAAACTTTTTTATTTATATTTACTTATACTTTTTTAAAGTATGAAAGTAATGTATTCATTTAGACAGAACTTTAGATAGTACATAAATAAGTGTAGGAAGAAGTACAAGTCCCTCTTTAGGCCACCCCTTCATTCTCCATCTCTTTTTAGAGGAAACTACAGTTTCCTTTTAGATGTTATTTTATGAATTTCAGAAATAAATCATATGTAGGTTTTTTTGCTTGTTTGTTTGGGAAATGAGATTATTCTACTCATTATTCTAAAATTTGTTCTTTTTATGCAGTGGAATACTTAGGTTATCTTTCTGTGTCATTTCATATAACTGCTGTGTAATAGTCCAAGCAATATATATATTTACACAATTTCATATTTTTAAGGATTTTTAAAAAAAATGTTCCCAGAAGGTACATACACTTACCAGAGAGAGACAGAGGAAGAGGGAGAAAGGACCCCCCCTCAGTGGAGCTTGGTCATGTCACAGTCTCTTCTCCATTTTTCCATACTGTTGGGATTTTGGGCATGCATACACACTTGTCCAGCTAATTTTTCCAGCCTCTAGGGCTAGGATTCAAACTGCATAGTCAGCCATGTGGGATACTGCTCCTTTAACCATAAGGCCACAGGGCTGGCCCCACAATTTATTTAACCATTTTTTCCATGAATGCACATTTAGATAGTTTCAGATCAATGGTATTAAAAGTGTTGCAGTGAGCATCCTTGTACTTTTTATCTTGGAATAGAATGTGAGTATTGCTGTGGGTTAGATTCCTTGATACATAAGACTTTTGAAAATAACGCATACCTAAATTTCATGAGTGGATGAAAGGAACCTAAAGCTCTTCATCATCATCATCCATACAAAAATATTATAAAGCTGTCATAATTAAGAGAGGATGATACTGGCAAAGAGTGGGACGGGGACAAGGCCAGCAGGTGGTGTGGCGGGTGAAGTGACTGGTTCCTACCTGGTGACTGCATGGTTCAAGGCATTAGTGCATGCGTACCCAAAATCCTAAAAGGAGAGTGGAAGAGAAGAGACTGCAGCATGGCCATCCTCCCTGGGGAGTGTTTTCTCACTTTCTCTATCTCTTTTTCTCTCTGTCTCTGGGGAGTTCGCACCCTATAGCAAAACAAACAAACAAACAAAAATAACAGAGAGAGAGATTGATTCACCAGTAAAAGTAAAATAGAATGCTCAGTCAGAGGAGTCAGCAGATGTTGTAGCAGTTAGGTCATTGGACTCACATGGCTGACCATAGTTCTAGTCCTGGACCCAATGGCCTCAAAATCATGCCAGGTAGCTTTCTCTTTCGTGGCCATCGCCGGAGCAGCAGCGGCCAAAATGAAGTTCAGTCCTTTCGTGACTTCTGACCAAAGCAAGAACCGTAAAAGGCATTTCAATGCACCTTCCCACATCTGAAGGAAGATAATGTCTTCCCCCCTTTCCAAAGAGCTGAGGCAGAAGTACAACGTGCGATCTATGCCCATCTGAAAGGATGATGAAGTTTAGGTTGTGCGAGGACACTGTAAAGGTCAGCAAATTGGCAAAGTGGTCCAAGTTTACAGGAAGAAATATGTCATCTATATTGAGCGGGTGCAGCAGGAAAAGACTAATGGCACAATGGTCCATGTGGGGATTCACCCCAGCAAGGTGGTTATCACTAGACTAAAGCTGGACAAAGACCGCAAAAAGATCCTTGAATGGAGAGCCAAGTCTCACCAAGTAGGAAAGGAAAAGGGCAAATATAAGGAGGAAACGATCAAAAAGATGCAGGAGTAAAATAGTCCTATCTACCATTCTTATTAAAAAACTGCTAAAATGAAAAAAAAAATCATGCCAGGTACATGTGTGTGTGTACCTAAGATCCTGGGAAGAGAAGGGATTGTGGTGTGGCCATCCTCCCAGGGGGTGATTTCTCATTTTCCCTCTCATTGTCTCAGTCTGTCTCTCTCTCTCTGTCTCTGGCAAGTGTATGCCCCTAAGGCAAAAAAAGAATGCTGGGTCAGAAATAGACTGGCTTGGATTCTTAACTATAGTGAAAGTGGCTTTCCAGAGTGATGAGATTTTTTAATAAGAGGTGTGGGACTGGGGTATCCATATGGAGGAAGGAAAAAAGAATTACACTTGGGTCAGCCAAGTGATGTGGTTAAGGTAGCTAGATCCCATGTGGCGAACTCAGCACTTCAGTGCCAGAACCAGCAGCTTGAAAAATAAACCAGGCACATGTGCACGTGTGCCCGATATCCCAAGGGGAGACTGGAGGAGAAGGAATTGTGGTGTGGCCATCCCCTCCCCCCAGGGCAGTGCTTTCTTAACGTTCAATTTCTCTGCCTCTTTCCAGCAAGGACATTGCCCTATAGCAAATTTTAAAATAAATAAATAAATACACTAGCTTAGTCTATTTATAAAAAAAAAAAAAAACCACCTATAGGTAACTGGAAAACTAATAAAGCTATTAAAAAATAATACCACAAATGAAGAATTGGTAAGTTCAAGTACATCAACTACATTAAGTAAATTGAAAATGAGGAGGTAAAGTCACAGTGGGATAGGATATTAGCAACATAGATGTCCATAGAAGAGTCATATCACAAATAAATATATTTAAATATACCTTTCTTTTTTTAAAGTTTATTAGCTACCAGAGGGTGTGAGCACTCACTAGAGAGAGACAGAGATGGGAGAAGGCACTCCCGTCATGGAGCATAGCCACACCACAGTCCTTTCTCCATCTCCATCCCTTTGGGATCCTGGCTGTGCATGCGCATGTGCCCAATGTGCCCTCCGTGTGGTCAGGTCTGGGATTCAAGGCACTGTAGGTCATGTAGAACCTGGCTACCTTAACCACTAGTCTGTGGCCCATGAATATGTATATTTCTAAACTCCTGCAAATCTGTAAAATAAGACAATAGGGAATTGATTTTAAAAAACAATTTCAGTTGTCCTAAAACATGAAAAGGACAACTTTATTTGTAACTAGGGAATGCATATTTAAAAAATTGTAAATACCAGTACTCACTTAGCAGAATGGCTAAAAATTAGGATGTCTAACCTAGTATTACCAAGAATGTTGGGGCTGGCAGGTGGAGTGGTGGTTAAGGTGCTGGACTCCCACATGCCTGATCATGGTTCTAGTCCTGGACCTGGCAGCTTGCTGTCTCACTTTCTTTTCTCTCTCTGTGTCTCTCTCTGGTCAAATTTGAAATAATCAATTAATTAATTAATTAATTTCAAAAAGAATGTAGAGTATTAGGAATGCTCACCTGCTATGGATGATAGTAAAATTTGATGCACAAGAGGACTTGTGCACCAAGAAAGCATATGAAAGAATATTCATAGAAATATTTGTGACAGCCATGTACTAGGAACAACCCTTCCACCAACTATGGAAAACATAACCAAATGTTGTATATTCATGCACTGGAATGCTGTACATTAACGCACATGTGATTTTTTTGTTGTTGTTTTAAGAATTATTTTATTTAACTTGTATTTATTTATTTAATTTATTTTAATTTGATCAGAGAGAGACTGCTGGTCCCATCAGTGTTCTGTTTCTTAATGTGGACAGCAGTTACCCATATGGATATTCTTGGGTGTTTGTTAATCTGTACATTTATGTATCAATCTTTTCTACATGAGTATTCTTTTTTCTTTGAGCAAAAGTTGTGGAATTGTTGACATGACCAAATGACTGAACAAGGCAACCAGAAACAGTGATCTTTAAAGAAATGTTTCCGTAATGAACCAACGTCTATAATCTAGGTCTCTTCCTTGACAGGGCTGTAAAGTAAAGGACCACATGGTTGCTGTTCGTGATCATGGCGAAGGTGGGGACTTGCTGTCCTGTCCAACTACTAGAATACTGGACGACCTGCAGAAGCACAAAGATGTCATTGTTGTGCCTTTTTCTAAAGATACAGTTAGGTGAGAAAAACGACAGTGCTGTGCTGCATCTTTGTTCAGTAGTTCCTGCCTCAGAGTCCTCCGTGCCTCAGCTTCCCTGAATCACTAATGTCAGTCCAAATGTTGGGTCGTCAGGAAAGTTGTGATGCATTTTTGCATACCAAAACATATCCTGACTTTTTGATGACCTAATAGTTTATAGACTTTCAGAAAGCTAAATTGAAATTGTGTTAATTTACAATAAGAGCAAACAGGTATTTATTTTTTTAAAAGAATTATTTTTTACTTAACTTTATTTATTTGTATATTTATTTCTTTGAATTTGGTCAGAGAGGGACAGAGTGAGAGAGAGAGAGAGGGAGAAAGAGAGGAAATGAGAAAGCAAGCCACCACATCCGAGACTTGATTGTGGTCAGCCATGTGGGAATCCAGTGCCCTTAACCACCACGCCACCTGCTGGCCCCAACAGGTGTTTATTTTATAGGCAAAAATACTTCAAAATGTTGGCGGCCCCAGGGGACCAAAAAAAATGAAAAGGAGGGGATCCTTGGTGAATGAAAAAGTTGGGACTCTCAATCAAATTTTAGGGGGTTATCCCCCAAAATTTCTTAAGCCCTTCTTAAGTGCTTGATAAATAAAACCAGCAAAAAAAGCTGATGGTCACAGTGATCTTTTTATATGCTTCAACTCTTGAATTCTGTAATTTCTGAAGTTATTTCCATCTTTTTGTAATTGTAGCAGACTGTCAGATTAGGGATCAGAAAAACCTCTCATAGAGGCATTTCTCAAAGCATACCAACA